GCAGGTAGGATGTGGCAGGATGTTGCCTTGTTGCCGCATTTTAATAATGCATCGAAATGAAAGTGGCTGTCAACTAGAGATTTGACATCTGCTTTGTGGCACGACAAGGATCGATGATGGCATGTCAGGTGCGTGGAACGCCCCCCGCCCCCGCCCCTCCCCCCGCTCCCAAGCTGACATTGGGGGATTTGTGCCAAGTGCCAAGTGCCAAGTGCGCGGGATTTGTGGGTTTATGCTGTGATAATTGACCTGGAACAGGAAGGGGAGTGGTAGGGGTGGTTTGAGGGGAGCTCATTAGCACACGGGAACGGCCCGCTGTAACTCATAAATGCCATAGATCTCTCTTTGGAGCCCAGCAGCTGGCCTGGTTGGATGGCATAAACACCCGCCGCTTGGACTCTTTGAAGTGCAAATTACCCGCGGGGTCAACCACGAAGAGGAAGGGCGGGGCAGAGCAGGAAGAACAAGCAGAGAGGCAGTTAACAATGCCCGAGCATATAATACATCTTGAGAATCTGTTTAATGATTCTCCACTTGAGAAGCTTTTGAAGCAGTTGCTATTTTAATGTGGTCGATATTCTAAATTTAAACAAATAAACAAAAAAACACACAAATACCTGGACCTGGCCCGTTGCTTGTTGAAAGTTTATTGTTTTTAAAGCTGTGCGAGGCAAAACTGTTTGATATTTCTTTGCAGCCTCTTGAGCATCCGTTAATTTGCGAATCTTTTGAGATTCATACTCAGGAAAACAAACTAAATGAGCTCTGCGGCACAACCTCATTGATCATAACCTGCCCCGCAGGTCCCACCCCCTTCCAACAGGTACAATAATTACATCCCGGAAACAATTATCGCTTCAGTTTTCACATCTGATTGTCTTGCAAATGAATATGTTTCATAAATTCAATAGAGCAGATATTGCAACTCAATCAGTTTCAGTTTTAGATAGCTTGAATATTCACAGGAAACTTAAGTTTAGAGTTGTTATTAGACTGGAATACAATTCAAGCAAGCCTCCTTCTTTTTTAAGACTCGGTTTCTTTAATACTTCAGTCTGATAAGTCTTTAACCGAACCAGGTCTAGAACCCGGCATTCCGATATTATTTTTATGATAATCCGAACCTTAACCAAAACCAATTTTCTAAAGCACAGCCGAACTGAAATTTTTAGTAAAATAGTTTGGTTCAAAAGAAAATACTTTAAATGAAGAGTTACTCATTAAGGGATGAAATTGTATATGATATTAGGTGAAGCCTACAACAAGCTTTTGTAGAAGAGAAAGATGCTGGTTCGAACCGTGAACCGGGATTCCCGCAAATTTCCTTTCGGTTTTGCAGCATTTCTTTCGCGAATATTACAATATTTTCAAATGATTTAAAAGCGAATAAAAACTGTATTTAAGATTTGTATTTGGAAAGTTCAGAATTTTAAAAAGAATTCTCCAAGAAATTCTTCATTCTCACGCTTTCTTAACCTGAGTCCGAGATTGGCTGGACTTTGGCTATCTTCGTACTTGATTTCAGTGAACATATCGAAGTACTTTACGATTTTTCAAAGTCCAGAGAAAACTCTTAATAAAAGTCCCGATTCCTCCGTAAAGCACCTGCCAGTTAAATATTCGTTGACATTCGAAAGATTTGCTATTGGCTGCGGGTCAATAGCCACTTTATGGAACACGTTTTATGCCATATTCCGAATCCTGCCGCTGACTTAACAAGCTCATCAAGATACTATATATATTTATACAAAGTTGAGGGGGGCGAAGAAGAAGAGGAGAGCTGTGCCACGCAACTAGTGTCAAGAATCGCATAAATTTCCGATTCCGGGCGGCATACAAATGCGTTGGCTCTCAAAGTGTGCCATTTAATGGCCACCAAAGGTCACGTTCACACCGCCGTAATGGCCAAATGGGGCCGCCCGCTCTGACAATTCAGGTAATGCGGATAATTTGCTGTCAATGATGTGTAACGCCGCCGACGCCGCCGAGGACAACAATTTTGATGATGATGAGAAGGAGGGCAGGCTGCTCAGAAGAATGTTGTTGTAGCCATATAGCTTCGTGTATTTGTTGTCAAACAACAGCACGCCGCTAATAGCCCAGCTCTACAAATAGGGCCTGTGACTGCATTTAACGGCATCTACCCTATAAATAGGTCCCAACTAGAGATGGACATGGGCCGTTCAGAGCTGTGATACGTGCGTGATTCGTGCGGGTTTCCCACACGAAAAAAGGAATCTTTGATTTCGTTAAAAATAACATATAACCAGCAAAAACAATACAGACACGAACAACTTCCCAAGCCCAGTCGATAGTTTGCTTTCACCTAAAACCATAAAAATTACTATTGCGATGCTAAACATGGCGTAAGTAAAATAGAGTTTGACATGGACAAATATTTTGCAGTAAAAGAAGATCCCGACTTTCCTATTCTTACATGTTTACAAAAAAAAAAAAACAACATAATCAGATATAACTTTTCACTCAAGCACAGTCGATAGTTCGCAGATTCCATCTAAAAACGACTCTTTCGAGTTTTTCGATATAAAAGATTCGAAAGGCATGAATTTAAATAATAAAAGTGAACTAGAGATTGAGATAGAAAAAGATATTTTTCAGTAACAGAAGATTTTGACTTCTCTATTCTTCGAATTTGAAGAGAAGTTAATTATTTAAAGACTTTAAAGCATAAAATATAAATAACTTAATTGAATTTTAATAAAATATTAACTATTAAATTTAATCTTTAGCATAATCAAAATACTTCAAGAAACAAAACTTAGATTTATTCTCGACAGAATTGAGCTGTCCGTGCGTGATAGAATCATTTAGTTTCGTGTTCGTTGTGGGGAAATAAGCACGACACGCGCTCATCTCTAGACACAGCGAGTAGTTTATGTTTGTTGCGGGGCACTTTTGACAAAAAGCCTACAAAATCGGAGGGTGTGAATTTGATCTACGATTTGTTGGTTTTGATTTAAATGCAACTGCACGTCGAGTGAGCCAATCAAATTTTTGACAAGGTGTTGACTCGCTGATATGGGGGGATATGGGATAAGTAGTTCCCATAAATCAGGGAAGATCCAAGAAACACGCGTCGATCGACAAGATGTCACGGACTATATAAACCATAAATGCAATTGTCGATGTTTTTTCGGTTTGATTAACTTGCGGTTTGACTAAACAAAACAAAGCAACAAAGAAAAATAGTCGAATGGGCGTTTTATGGCTTAACGTGACGGATGGAAGAAAAGAACGAAAAACAATGTTGTTTCAGACTTGTAAATGTTTGCTTTTTGCGGCAATAAAATGTAAATCTATTTGTTTCCAATACTATTCCCAGCATAGATCTAAAAATAAGCAAGAGACAATCACAGCCAACCTCAGAGAGAGACACGTTCACTCGATCCCGAGGATAACCCATTGTTTTACGACCCATTTTTGGCCGCGGTAAGCGATCGTTAAATCTTGGAATAAAGAGAGAGCGTGAAAAATCCTTGTGCCAGATCACAGTTCAGAGTTTGCAGAGCCGTCCGACTCGGACATGTGTGGATTGCATGGGGCATATTGCCGCAACTCAACTTCAATTGGTTTGTATTTATTGTTTTTATTTCCCTTAAATGAGACTCTGCTTTCTACTTGAGGCACAAACAGAGACTTCGATCGTAAAACAATTCTCGTAGTCCTGTATTTAAATTGTATACAACATCATTTTACGACCGCCTGCGATATGGTAAACGGCTTTCGTTTCTACGGGAATGGCGCACTTGACTCCCGACTCCTACTCGGAGTGCTGCTCGTGAAAGGTCGTAAAAACCAAAGGAAATTGGAATTATGTTCCACAGATAGCGCAAAGGTTACAGATAAACCAGGTCTAATGCTCATCTTTTATAGATACCCAACAATATTAAACGAATATCAACTGAAAGTCTTTCAACTAAAGAGCTCTTTAAATAATATTTATCTGTGCGCAATTTTCATTGTTAAAAAGTTTACTTGACTTTAAATAAACAAAAAAGTTATTTAAGTTACAAAAATTACTTTGTTTTAAGTACAAGTTTAAAGCTCATATACCCAAAAATATTTAACGAATATTAACTGAAAGTCTTTCATCTAAAGAGTTCTGTAAATAATATCTTATCTTATTTCATTGCCAAATAGTTTACTAGACTTTAAATAAACAACAAAGTTATTTAATTTACAAAAATTACTTTGTTTTACGTTCAATACAGCCGCTTTTTCCCATTGAATTTTGCTCACTTTTCATTTGTCGAGCATTTTCACATCAATTTTTGTATATAAAACAATTTCGAATACTTTGAATACACCCACACGGCAAGAAGGCTCCGCCCACAAAAAGAAAAGTCAGAGGCAAAGATCTCATCGCAATGTGCTGGGCATATGTGAGTGTAGTGTGTGTGTGTGTGTGTGTGTGAGAGAGAGAGAGAGAGACGCCCCTGCTTTGAACTGAATGCACCAATGAGGTGTCTGCATTTATCTCATATATATATATATATAGCGAGAGGATCTTGAGAGGCAGATCAGTTCAAAAATAGATCAAATTTTGGATGGAAAGGATCAAAAGAAAATACTAAATTCCATCAGAAAAAAATCCTAGCTTAATGAAGATGCTCTCTGCTGATCTATATATTTACATACTCTCCCATGTGTGTGCCTGTGTGTGTGTGCGTGTGTGTGTATTTATAGTCTCTGATGCGCTCTCGCCACAAAATACTTGGATTTTACTTGCAAGTGCTCTGCCCTCCCACAAAACCATTTAATTGTCGATCGGACTTCAATGCGCACGGATCGCTCGGATTGGAAAATATTGAAAAATATTTTTAAGAAACTGCTGACAATACTTTTAAATAACTGTGATTAAGTGCAAAGTTTTTCAATAAAAAAAACAAAAACAAAAGGTGTCTCTGGGAAACTAAGAAAAAGGTGTCTCACTAAAAAGTGCTTAAAAGGCGCTTTAAATATAATAAGAGACAATTAATATGCTACCCTCTGCGTGCTATACAAACGCCTCAGCCCTTCAGGATAATGAACAACTGGTCAACACTTTGTTGGCCTGTCCCGAGTATCTACGAGGCACGAATCCCTTGGCAGGCGTTACCGTCGGAGATGGCTTGGCCTGCAACGGCTTTCCGGCCGCGTTCTACTACCAGGGCATGGACAACATTCTGGCGCTGCACAACAATATCTGGACGCTGCCCATCTCATTTTTGCACAGCAATCATCGACCCGAGAAACCGCCCTTTTCATATATTGCGCTGATCGCGATGGCCATCAGCAGCGCCCCCAACCAGAGATTGACACTCAGCGGCATCTACAAGTTTATCATGGATAAGTAAGTTCCCCGAAAGCATAAATATTCCACATCCTCAATTATCTTAGTAAGGAAAGCCGGATCATATAGACGTTCCTTTTAGATATGTTGGTAGATTAGTTAAGCTCGTAATTGCTGAGTTTAGGAAAAGATTTCTTGAGAAACAGGATAAAATTAAATTCAAAAACAAATTTATCGATCGAGTACAACAGATCCTACTCATATATATAATATGTTCGTATTTGTTGATCGAATTTAATTATGTAAGCGTTTACTTTAAAGTAACAATATTCCAGATTCCCAATTACCGAGGTAAAAAAAAACCAGATCACATAAAAGTCCTTTTTAAAGAGCTTGCAAATATGTTGAAAGATTAGTTAAGTTCGTAGTTTAGAAAAGATTTCTTGAGGAACAGGATAATAACTAATAATTGATACAAAACTTATATTTCAACCGATTCCTTCAGATGCAGAGCATATCTATAATATGTTAGTCCAATGTTAACAGATTCTGATAAGGAGCGTAAACTAAATGCTAAGGTTTAGTCAAAATATATCGCGAAAAAAAATTATAATTAATTTGCACCCAATCTTCAATTACATGAATTGCCTGCAACTGATAGAATCTCCTTTTGCCTGTTTATACAGATCAATAATATATATATAGGCTCATAAGACCCTTCTCATAAAAGTAGTTAGATGTTAAGTAGACTTGTCGAATGGTTTGTTTACAGCCCAGAAAAATATTAATGCATGTACATGTTTGTATTTTACTTCCCATTAAAATATTTATGGAAATTATCTGTTGAAAATAAATATATATAATTTCCTATACATAAATAAGTCGAGATGTCAGAAAATTATGAATTAACGCTGACGTCCAATTATTTTGGCGCGTTTCCAGTTTGGGTCGATAAACCAAACATCCTTTCACATATATTAAATCAAGGCTGCAAAACTGCTTGAAAACCAAATCTTTTAACTGCTTCAATATATTTTCAAATCTGAAAGCAGCTGCCCCAGAAACAACCGAAGAAAATCCGAATTATTTTGTTTTTTCAAAATATTTAGGCTCAAAATAAGAAACCTTTCAATTAGACCCAGCTCTAAGCCATAAATTACTTGGCCCCCAACTATTGTACTTATCTAACTAGATGTGGCAGATGCCAATTTAATGTAGCCCGCAATTTTCTGTGAAAATATTGAAAACATGCAATATTTTCAGTAGAACGGGCAGTTACAAAATTTAAAAGTGAAAAGTTTCATTCAATTTTCACGAGAAAGAAGTGCTATCTTCGGCACGCCGACGATTATACTCATTATACTTCGCCCGTATCTAAAAAGGACGGGGAAAAAAGTTAATGCCGAGTTTGGTTAAGATATCTTGAAAAACAAACAAGTTTTCCATACTAAAAGCTACATTTCGACGGATCGGTCATATGGTAGCTATATGATATAGTGGGCCGATGTTGATAGGATTTGACATATATATAGGGAGCATGGTAAAACTAATAAATGCTGAGTTTGGTTAAGATATCTTGAAAAACAAACAAGTTTTCCATACAAAAAGCTACTTTTCGACGGATCGATCCTATGGTAGCTATATGATATAGTGGGCCGATTTTGATAGAATTTGATATGTATATAAGGAGCATGGTAAAACTAATAAATGCCGAGTTTGGTTAAGATATCTTGAAAAACAAACAAGTTTTCCATACAAAAAGCTACTTTTCGACGGATCGAGTTTGGTTAAGATATCTTGATAAAAAAAGTTTTTTATCCAAGAACCTAATTTTCGGCCGATCATTCCTATGGTAGCTATATGATATAGTGGTCGGATCCAGCCGGTTCGGACATATGTACTGTGGGCCACAGAAAGAAGGACTTCTGCAAAGTTTCATGACGATAGCTTTAAAGCTGAGATTAATTCGCATAGAAACAGCCGTACAGAAACAGACGCACGGATGAACAGACAGACGGACGGATGTACAGGCGGACATGGCTATATCGACTTGTCTGTTTATACTGATCAAGAATATATATACTTTATGAGGTCGGAAATGCCGCCTTCTATCCCTTGTCACATTTGTAGACAAAATAATAAATATATTGCAAGCCCATCTTTGAACCAAACCCTGAATAGATGATAAAGATAAGATTCACTCACCAAATCTCAAGGCAGGAAGCCGGTTCCCTAAATTATATCGATGTTATGGCTTCGACTGCATTTGATTAAACCCGATCAATAAGTTCTAATTTTTCCAATCTACCTCTCAGATTTCCCTACTATCGTGAGAACAAGCAGGGCTGGCAGAACTCCATCCGGCACAATCTGTCGCTGAACGATTGCTTCGTTAAGGTGCCGCGGGATAAGAACACAATCGACGACAATGACAGCGCCGGCAAGGGCAGCTATTGGATGCTGGATGCCTCCGCCACGGACATGTTCGAGCAGGGCAACTACCGACGGCGCCGCACACGGAGAAGACACTGCACCAGCACCAGCCGCTACGAACGGGACGCCGGCAAGGTATGTGTGTTGAATTCTCCAAAAAGGCTAAACTCATCTCTAAGCAAACTGTTTTGCATATTCCCGAAGGATTCCAATGCAAGCAACGACGGCAGCACCATGGGCGAGATCAGATCCCCCGGCGACTCGCTAGCTGATTTTGATATATTCTGCGGCGAGGCTAATCCGGCTGCACTGAGACCCAATTATTCGGATCGCATCACGGAGCTGCATCGCCAGTATCTATCGGTGTCTTTCGGGTTCAACAATCTCTTTAACAACGAAACTCGGAAAGAGCCCATTTCTCCGCGCAGCCCGTGCTCAAGCAGAACCAATCAGAGCGCCGCAGACCATGTCCCGAGTGAAGATCCACATTCCCCGAGCGCCTTCACACCTCCATCGAACGACGAGGCATTTAAAGGCTTGCAGGAACTGCTGGGCGATGACACGCCCACGTCGAACTCGGCGGCCGGCAACAGGTCAAAGACTACGACGCTCTTTACAATTGAGAACATAATTGGCAAGCCGTAGCAATTGTACATAAGACTCGATTGTCAATATTCATTAATTAATAATAATTATTAAAGTCGTTTTACTATTTGGATCCACATAAACAAAACACTTTCGATGGGTTGATGTAGGGTTTAACGTGTTTTTTTTTTATTCTCGAGTAGAAAACTCCTCACTTTTCCCACATCAAATACATTTATTCGGGCTTCTTGGACGAAACCTGAACGGGTTTTTTAGCCTTGACCTGAACGGGCTTCTGGGAGCGCAGAACGGCAGAAGCACGACGGAGAGCAGCCTGTGGACAAATTAACATTTAAAATATGCTCATTTACAAGCTAATACAAGAAAGTAATAATTATATAAAGTAATAATCAGAAAAGATTGCTCAACACGACACTTCTGCGATCTTGGTAGTATTTAAATAGATTTCATCATGAAAAGATTTCATCAATAGCAGGTTTAATATATATGTGCAACTTTACCTGCAAGTAAACAAATATTTAGATTTTCATTAGTATTCTATCGAGATAAATATCGTTATTTCATTTGAAAATCAAATCAGAAAGAATATTCAACACGATCGTTCTGCGATCTTGGTGTAGTAGTAAAAATATACATATCATCAGAATCTAGAGATCAGCCTTATTCGATTATATTTTGGCTTATACCTGTGTCAGATCCTTCCGGTACTTGGTGCCCGTCAAGAGGTTCTTTAGCTTCTTCAGCGAACGGCGGGGACCAGACTTGAAGTTAACACGCACTGTATTCTTGGCGGGACGCTGGCCATATTTGCCCTTCTTCAAGACGGCAGTAAAGCCCTTCTTGTCGGCAGCGGGCACAACTCCAAGAGTTTTCTTGTGCACAATGCCGCTGTAGCGGTAAGAGCTGACATTGGCCAAGTTGCTGGGTTCCTTTTGGAGATGAGGTTAGATTATTAGTCAAACATGCTGATATATTGGAAAATGTAGTAAATATTTGCCAGTGTCGTCAGATTAATGTTACTATCATGTTGTATTCAAATATCATTGTGAAAGTTTATAAATTGGAAACATCATTAAACAGCAGGCAACTTTTTACTTAAACCGAATGTCACACACTTACTGTGCTGAAAGGTTTCTTCACATCACGCTTCTTCAACAAGAAGGCGTTGTTGTTGCGAATGATCAACCAATTGAGGTGCGAAGAGGTTGCCATCGTACGTCTGCAAAAATAAAATCCTGGTTAGTATCAATTTGTAAAGGTCGCATAATTGTGTATTGAATGCTAGATATTCAGTCTTGGGTGATGAATATAGTCTTCAAGAACTCTTCTGCCAAATCATTCATCAGATTGAAACATTCGAACTCATATTTTACACGTGTGCTTACCTTTAGGAAGTTTAGGAAATGGTGCAGAAAAGATGACGAGAACATGAAATAGAAGAAAAAGTCAGGTTAGTTTTATATCAATTGCAGAATAAAGCTAGTTATTTTATGAAGTCAGTCTTGGGTGATGAATATAGTCTTCAAGAACTCTTCCGTTAAATCGTTCATCACTTAAGAAACTGTAACCAGTGTATGGGCAACACAGCTTGCTAAAAAAAAAATAACTAAATCCAATGTTGACGATTGACTTCTAAAACAAGTCCAATTTTGTATAAAACAGCTGTATTGCAACACTGGCTATAACCAATTCACTGCACATGTGCTTACCTTTATCGCCACAATGCAGCAAGACACACAGGCAAGGCAGGGCAGCAACATTGGGGCGCACATGAAATGAGAAAATGGTAAAAAATATAGTTACGTGGTGTCACAATAATCCAAAAGCAGGCCTCAACAGTTTTTTCAGTCTTGGGTGATGAATATAGTCTTCAAGAGCTCTTCTGCCAAAATCGTTCATCATAGAATGGGCCGCTAGCAGCCGCCATACACGTGTGAGGTTTAACACAAAATTTTACCTCCAATATAACTCGTATTGGCGGCCACCGCTGTGCTTAACAAGGCGCAACTGATTCAGTTTGCATAAGTGCCATCTTTTTGTATTGTTCACTACGCTATGTAAGCTATAACTTAACCAATTCAAGACATTATGCAAAATGCCTACCTTTTCTCGTTGAAAGACAAGCAGGAAAGAAATATGGCAGACACAGCGCATGGTGAACTTGGCTGCGATTAAGCGCCCAGGCTTGCTAAACAGCATATATCGATACACCGCAATGACCATCGCCGTATGCATGGTGTATCGATACCTGAAGCCATCTCTACTTGTCAGACACATTTCCGAAGCTCTATTCGCAAAAAAAAGTTAAATTACAGTTAAATTCAAGTAAAGAATTGTATTAAAACGTTTCAGACAGTTTTTGTTTTAGGCTGTGGTTTCTTTTTATTGTCGTATGTCCATCCAGAATTTAAACACTCGTGGTAAGGACAGCGCACGTTTTCATTTCTACCCAATACACTTGCAGCTCGTAATTTACACATGTATGTATGTATGTACCATGTACACATAAAATGGCTGCTGGCACAGGCTAGTCTAGTCATCAATGTGAACTTACAAACATACGTACATACATATTTATGTAAATGGGACGTAGACATGCAGCACGGGTGTGATTACAGATTTTTCATGCATATATATGTTTGTTTATATTTCAGACCCCTTTGCTGATGCAATCAAGGGCAATGATGATGATATTCAAGACGGACTCGTGCACATAAGAATCCAACAGAGGAACGGTCGCAAGACATTGACCACTGTTCAGGGCTTATCCGCAGAATATGACTTGAAGAAAATAGTCCGCTCCTGTAAAAAGGTTTGTGCATGGCAAGCCAAATGCTCAGATATTGATTTTAAATTCAATTACAAATGAATATTTGTTAAACGATTTTGTTCTTTAGGAATTTGCTTGCAATGGGACTGTGATTGAACATCCAGAGTATGGTGAAGTTCTGCAACTGCAGGGCGATCAACGTGAAAACATCTGCCAATGGTTGACCAAGGTGGGACTAGCGAAGCCTGATCAATTGAAAGTTCACGGCTTCTAAACTAATGCCAAGGGAGAAACAAAGGTGTGGATATCCATACAAGTCTTGCACTGCATACATAACTACACACTCATACACATATAAATATAGATATATATATATATAAATTATATGTACACCAAACTTGCTAAAGTTCTTTGTTCCGATCAACTAAAACTCTTGATAAAAACATTTATATAAAGACAAAAGCAATAGACCATTAACTGCGAACAATGTTAATATTACAAGTTAAATAAAATTAAATGTTCATTTTAAATAAGTATCCGAGTGTATTCATATATATTTGTAGGTTTTTCAATTTGTAACCAATCCTTGTATTGAAATTAAATAGTTACACGGCCTGGCCAGTGACTATTAACAGTTCCAAGGTTGTATCGGCGTCAGTCTTACAGCCGCCATGTTGATGACGTATTTCGAAAAGTATCGAAAGGTATTCTGCTACTTAAATTTGATATAAACAACTGTAATAATACTATGTTCATATCTCATCTATATTCTATTAACGAAACATTTTATACCAATTATTTAAATATCTAACCAAAATTATATTTAAATACCCATATTATTGGATGTCTGATATATCGATATCTCGTAACAAGGGTTACACTCTCATTCAAATTCAAATATTAACAGCCCAAAACTTACAGTAGCTCATTAAATTCAGATGACAAACAACGCACAATTAAATGACAAGCCCGTTTTCACATTTATAGACTGTAATAATCATACAAAAGTCATGTGTAGTTCTTGTGCAAGCCCAGATTTTCTATTAGGTTCTCATTATCGAAAATACAAGAAATCGATTTTTCACTTATCGAATTTCTATCATTGTTTCCGAAAACTATCAGTGCCTATCGCCAACCACCACAATCACACATTGTAGTTTTGACGGCAGCAGTAAAATTGTAATTCATAAATCACAATTTAATTTACATTAATTCATGCACAAATTGTGTATATTGTTAAAGTTGTTGTTTTTTTTTTTTCAAAAAATAAACCAAAGTCTTTAAGTACGAGTACGCGCACCACGCGGAACGTGTGGTGTTTCGCTTTGCAATCGCAATCGCTGCGAGTGCTCTGACCAGAGAGAACACACATAACAAGTGGTTTTCAATTCAATTCGATGGTCTATCAAAAGAGCTGCAACCAAAAATAATTGCTAAGGGGTCCATTGGCAAACGAAATAATACGTTACGTGGTGAGTACAGTTCTTTTTGTGTGTTATTATAACTTGTGACACTCATTCTTGGTGACATTTGAACGCCCAAGCGTATGCATTTTGTTTAATTAGCAAAATGTATTCTAAGGTTCTCAAAATTCGTTCCCAGCGTTCCAGCACAAACCCGCTAAATTACGTATGCTATACAATTTGTTACAGAACCAGAAAGCAGTCGAAATAGTTATTTCTAAATAAGACTAGTGACCAGTGTCATTCAATATTCAAAAAGCGTGCGCGTATTGCAGTTTTTTTTGGCTTCGCTTTCCTAGTTGTCAGTTGTTGTTTTTGTGTGTGTTTTCGCCGCATGCAACCGTGCAACCGTTGGTGTATCGAAACGTTTGACAAAAGGAACGGGCGAAAGTTTTTCTATAACGATGAGACGTCAAATTTTTGGCTTTATAAAAAAATTTTCGCGTGACGAGTTCGTTGTCGAAAACAACCAATAAATATTATTTAAAACATTTGCAACAATCAAGTATTTTGTTTAAACGACTTTTGCTGGTGCGGTGTTGCAACTTAGACGTGAGAAAACAACAAAAAAAAAAAAAATCAATTGCTGGTTCGGTTCTCGGGCCAATTTCAATTTTTATTCTGCGTATATTTGAGTGCGAAAAAAAGCAAGGGAAGGAGGCAAAGAAGAAAAGCGAAAATAGCCACGGAAAAGAAAACTAAATGAGAACAAAAATTAAGTCATTGAAGCCAGATACACGGAAAACTAGACGACAACGGTCGAAGTTGGAAGAAAATGAGGCACGAGTTGAGATGAGAATATGAGAGGAGACAGTGATAGCGACTAGTTCCAACAGCAATTGCAGCAGTATAAATAAATAAATATTAAGTGCGAAGGAAGAAATTACTGCTGATTTGTGTGTAATTCGCATCATACTCAAGTCTAATGAAATCCGAATATATAAAGTGAAAATCAAAATTTCCAACTAAAAAAGTCTCAGCTGGGTGGCAGCAGCAGCAGCAGCCGCAGCCGCAACAAGGCAGCGCGCGTGTGTTGTGTGTGTGTTGTGTGTGTGTGTGTGTGTGTGTGTGTGTGTGTGTGTGTGTGTGTGTGTGTGTGCGTGCGTGAGTGTGAGCGAGTGCAAGTCTGTGTGCGTGTGTGAGTGAGTCGTGTGTGCAAGTTTTTGGGGCTGTCGGGTGTTCGTTTTTGAAAGAGGAGTAGAAAAAAGAAGAAGCAAGTTGTGTCTTTAAGTGTGTGCTTGTGTGTGTGGAATTCTTGACAATTCCCCAACATACGTTACCATGGAATATTACCTAGGTTAGTAGAAATTTCAATTCTCAATTAATAAATTAAAAAAATATGCGGGGCACATACACATTCATACAAATAAATAAATATATATATATATAACTACATGCATACATTTACCAATACAGTAGCAAAACAATGCCCCCGCACTTACACATGCGTATGCACATAGATGCATACGCATATAGGCGAGTACATAGGAACGCATATACATATATACAAATACATACGTTGCGTATGCTGCATTACTTTAAGGTGAGGCCAAAACGCAAAGTTTTTGCAGTAGCAGCCGCAGCTCCCCTTACATCCAAGCCACCCCATCCCCCCAGCATTTGTGGTTATGTTTAGGATCAAATTAGCTGGCGGCGACTGTTCATTTGTTTGTTTGTGCAATTAAGCCTATACATACATACGCATATAAATGAAATCCACAAGAAATGCGTCTAGTCAGCAATACAATTCCTATTGAATTTTCAGTGCCCGATTGGAGCCTCTGCTTCCAATTACAGCGCCAGTGTTGCCAACTGCCGCTTCAAAAGAGTAGCTAAATCCTATGATAAAAATGGCTATAATTAGCTGACTGCAAACAAACAGGGTTGCTTGACATAGACAAACTAGCTTAATCCAGCTAAATTAATATATGGCTTAACTGTTTCCAGCAGAAGAACTCTGCATACAGCTAAATTTAGCTTGAAAAGAGTTTAATGGGCAGCACTGTGCGTCGTGTTTACCTTTTATATTTGACTAAAAAGGGTATTTGGAGCTGTGTCAATTTCTTAGAACGTAATAGAGGGCTGTTGTGTTGTTTATCAGTGTTATTGCGTCTTGATTAAGAGTTTTTTTTTTTGCAGGAGGTTACGTCTATATGAATGGAGATGCTGTCAAGATTCAGCCGCCTGTTTACACCAATGTTCCTGTTGAAACGGCAATGTTAGCTACCAACCTGTTTGGCACCCCGACACAGATCGCAGCACCGACAGCAGCTCATATACCCATAATCACGGCAGCAGCAGCTGCAGCAGGAGGCACACCAACAGGAACAGTAGCGCCCCAAACAGCACAGCCCGCACAGCATTCACAGCAGCAGCAGCAACAACAACAGCAGCAGCATCCACAGCCACAACAGCATCCACATCAGCAGCAACAGCAGCAGCTCATCTCTCATACGCACGCCCACGCTGTGGCAGTTGCCGCTGCAGCCGCCGCTCAGCAGCAGCAGCAACAACAACAACAATCAACGCAGACCATCCAAACGGTGCAGGCTGTAACGCCGGCCACGGCCCAGTTGCATCTGCAGGCGCATCCGCATCCGGCACAACAGCATTTGCAGTACGGTCACCCGGCTCAGCAGCCGCTGCCACCGCCGCTGCCGCTGCCGTCCACTGGCGAAAGCATTCAGGCAAACGCACTTGACAATACCGAATACGCCATCATGAATGGAGCCATCGCTCAGACTCAAGATGGCAACCTCGTCTGCTATACCACAGAGGCGCTCGTACCTGGCGTTAACAATACGAATTTAGTTGCCCTCGAGCAGCAGCAGCAGTCCGAGCTCATCGCACAGCAGCAGCAGCAGCAGCAGCTAGCGGCCGATGAATGCGGCATGCCGCTGGACAAGCTCAAGCAGATGCTGGCCACGCAGCTGGACTATTACTTTTGCAGGTAACAGGCGCACACTCACGCACACACTCGCACACCCAAACTAATTTGAAACTTCTTTTGCAGAGAGAATCTGGCAACCGATACTTATCTGGTGTCCCAAATGGACAGCGATCAATATGTGCTCATAAAGACAGTGGCCAACTTTAATCTTGTTAAGAAACTAACCAAGGACATCAATCTGATTACCGAGGTGCTGCGCGAATCGCCCAACGTTCAGGTCGATGACGAGGGTCTGCGCGTGCGCCCCAACCACAAACGTTGCATCATCATATTGCGCGAAATATCCGACAACACGCCACTCGATGACGTCAAGGTAAAACGCGATGGCGACGGCAACGGCGGCTCACCCAGCAACCGAAACCAAATTCAATTAGAGACGAACGCGCCAAACCAACATGACTCTCATATACATTCTCAAAATCACGATCGAGCCTCGGTCGCCGACTCTTGCTTTGCTGAGCAATTACTTTGCGATTATGTCCGTAATATATGTTCGAACTGACTGACTAAGATTAAGACTGAAAGATCAAAGCACAGCAACGTCTGCGGGCTAGAAAGGTAGAGTTTCACTGTAGTTAGCTTAAGTTGAGAACTTTACACTTGGCAAAGAAATATAAATTGAAAAGTGCAGCTCAAGTTAATATGTATAGATATTTATGTATATGTATAGTATAGAATAAACTTTCATACGGGCGAAAAAGGGTTTAAAAATTGACTGAAATTTGAAGAAAAAGTATTGGACGGAACAGGGCTGGGAAATACCAACTGTAGCTATTGACATATCTTCACATAGGCCCTTCCTTTTGTCTGCAGGCAATTTAGGCTTCCCCTTCACTTGATCAAAATATATATGAAGCTGGCCATCTAAACTCCTGTCGCCTTCTTTTTTCGCACAGGCGCTATTCAGCAGCGACAACTGCCCGCGCCCGATTGCTTGCGAGTTTGCGGCCAACAATTCGTGGTACATCACATTCGAGTCGGACGAGGATGCGCAGAAGGCCTTCAAGTATTTGCGCGAGGAGGTCAAAGAGTTTCAGGGCAAGCCCATAATGGCGCGCATCAAGCCCAAGTCATTTATCAATAGAATACCTGCTGTACCAAATATCAAGAACGGCTATCGTCTCAACTCACCGCCAACTGCCACAGTCTATGATCCAGCCGCTGCCGCTGGCGCCGCTGCAGCTGCTGCCGCCGTCAGCTACAATGCGGCACCACAACGTTTCGTCTATGCCGGGAATGGCGCCCTAACCCCAGCCACGGTGCCCTACGGTGGCCAGGTTCTGATCGTAAGTATTAATGGGAATATTTGCTACTGGAGCCCGGCATCGAATCGAGTTGCGGATAAGCTCAAGCTTAGTTATTTTACTTGTGTTTCTGACTCGAGGAGGCGGCAACTCCGTTGTAAGAATATCTTTTGGCTTGGAGAATTGTTTAATAGAACAATCCTTGGCTCAATAATGAGAAGCTCCAGTATCCGAATTGAACCCATGCCAGGCTCTATTTTCTTAACAGTTTGTCTAACATCTCGCATTTTTGTAGCCCTTTCAGCAGCAACCGTTCTACACAGGCCTGATGCCGTGGCAACCGACCACTGTGGCCGCGGCGACGGCGGCGCATGGCCAGAATTTCTATGAGATTGGCGGCAATTTATATGCAGCAAATGGTCTGGCACCGCAGGCTGTGGCTGCCAATTTCACAACCGCACCGCCGCCCGCCACACAAATCGTGACGAATAAGCCGCAGAGCGGCGGCGGTGGCGGCGGTCGCTACAATAGCAATCATCGCGGCAATCCGAATAACCTGACCGGCACAGGACCACGCGGCGAGCTGCGCAGCAAGCCGCCGCGCAATGCACAGCAACAACAACAACAACAACAGACGTCTTCGCATATCCAGAGCGGCAACATTATCATGCCCACGACGCTGCGTGGCATCAGCGTGGTGCCGGCTGCCATTGTGGATCCAATACAGCAGGTGCCGCTGCAGCAGCAGCAGCAGCAGGTGCAACAACAACAGCAGCAGCAGGTGCAACAGCATCAGCAGCTGCAACAGCAGACGGCCAGCTCCAGCCAACAGCAGCAGGTGCAACAGCAGCAAATTGTGAGCGGAAACTCGGCTGGGTCCACGCGATATGCGCTCAAGAGCAATTGGAAGGGTGGCATGCAAAAGAATCTGGACAAGAGCTATGGCAGCCACCATCACTACAGCACCCAGGTGCAAACGCTGCCCAGCAACAGCCATGCTCACCATCAGCCACAGCAGCCGCCGCAGCAGCAGCAGCAGACGCACTATCAATTGCCTTCCTCGAGCGCCGCCAGCTCAACGCACTCAACATATGCCAACTCGCACGCAGCAACGTTGACGCTGGCACCGCAGCCTGGTCAGCAGCAGCAGGCGCATCATCACCTGGTGGTGCATGCTGCACAGCCCGTGGAGCTGCAGGAAGCCAGCGGCGGCGATAATGTTGTTGTTGTCGAGCACGGCGGCGGCTCGCATGGCATGCAACCGAGTCGTAGCAACATGTCGGCCAGCTCCTCATCATCGCTGGCCACTTCCATTGGCGGCGGCAAGGAACCACAGCCGCTGCACTGGCAGACACGTCCACGTCGTCGCCGGCGCGACGAAGACGGCATCAATTACTCGCCAGGCGGTCGAGTTAATGTAAGTACCAAACTGGAGCCCTGCATCGGTTAATTTAAGGTTCTCTTCCTTACGCTTGGACGATTTACTTATTGCTTGTTTATTGCAGATCTATGGCGGATCGCCGCAGCAGCTGCTCTCCTCGTCGTCCGCCTCGTCTACGAATAATGTGCAGTCGTCGCATCGCGAGAGTCATTATGGCAGTCATGAGGCGCAGCCGGCGCCGCCGCAGCATCGCGGTAATTACAAGGGCAACAATTATAATCCCAACTATCATGCTCAGCAGCATGCGTCCATGTCACATCATCATCATCATCATAATCACAGCCATAGCGCGCTGCCCGCCCAGCAGCAGCAACAGCAGCAACAACAACAGCAGCAGCATCATGTGCCGGCTGCACAGCAAAGCTCGGGCCATAATTATCATCATCATCATCATCACAACTCCATTGGCAGCAATGTGGGCAACAGCGGCGGGCTCGGTGTCAGCAGCAGCAGCAGCAACAACAATAACAACAACAGCAACATGTCCAACAACATTGGCGCCAGCAGCAGCGGAGGAGGAGGAGGAGCAGGAGGCGGCGGCGGAGGAGGAGGAGGAGGAGGCGGCGGCGGTAGCAGCAATGAGCGCGGCCTGCACCATGGCATCAGCATGGGCTATCAGGGCCATAATGCACACCAGCAACAGTTGCAGCAGCAGCAGCAGCAACAACAGCAGCAGCCGGCGGCTCCGGCACAGCCGCCACAATTTGATTTAGAGGCGTCCGCCTTTCCACCGCTGCCGGCTACCTCGGCGCCGGCACATGGTGCACATCATCATCATCAGCATCACAGCAACGCTTCCATGCATAACTCCAGCAGCAACTCATCCTCATCGGCGAGCGGGCCGAGCCACAGCAAGCAGCAGACGGCCAATCAGAGTCAGGCCCATCATCAGCCGGGACACGGCGCCGCCGTCATCGCGTCGTCGTCGTCGGCGGCCGAATGCAGCGGCGAGGAGCCGCGTTCAAGCAATCATCAGCATGCCGAGAGCAATGCGCATAGTTCCTCCAGCAACTCCTCAACGGCGGCTCCGGCAGCTGGCTGGGCCGAGAATCGACTCGCGGATGTGGTACGCACGGGCAAAGGCAAGGCGCGCAAGGATGCCGCCGCTGTCGCCGCACAGAACCGACATCAACAGCAGCCTGGCCAGCAACAACAGCAGCATTTGCCACAGCAGCAACAATATCAGCAGCAGCAGCAGCAGCGCAATCTGGCGATTAGTCCCACGCCCGCGATGGTAGTCGTAGCTCCAGCTCCAGCTGACAATACTAAAAACTTTACTAAGCAGAGCTCTAGTAATAACCCGATCAATGTGATAAAGTGTCTAACACCAAATATCAATGCCAGCAACAAGTTGAGCAACAACAATAACAATGCGAACACGACGACGACGACAGCAACAGTTGCTGGTGAAGAGGCAGCTGCTGCTGCTCAGCAGCTGGATAAATCAAACAAGACTGAGGATGAACTGCATCCAATACAAGGCGGCAAGCCGCAGCAGCAGCGCCTAGTCGAGGGCTATGGCCAACAGCAACAGCCGCAGCCGTCGCAACAGCAGATGACAAATGACTATGTGCGCGGCATGGCCGCGCCTGGTGCACTGCCCATGGCCGGGCATATGCCGACGAACTCGGGCGCTGGCGCCTGCAGCGGCACGCTGGCCACCGGCTTGAACGAGCTGAGTCTGGGCCAGCACAAGAAGCCGGCTGCGACTGGCACGCAACACACCAAAAAGGAGCTCAACCCTGGCGCCGGCAAAGATGCCAGCAGCAACAAACACAAAAGCGTCGCCACCTCCACATCCCCCGCCAATTCAGTGTCAACGGAGAATATTGCGGCCGCGACAACCGCCAGCAAACTAAGCTATGCGCAGGTGGCGCAACACCACAAGACCGCCGCCGAGGCCATCAAGGACGGCGCTGTCTCGCCCACGGCCAGCCACAAGCTGGAACTAGTCTTTGGCGACACCGCCGCCACGCCCACAACCGACAAAGTCGCAGCGACTGTCTCGACTGAGAAGCGTCTGGCCGCAGCTTCGTCAGCTGTTCCAGCTGCGCAGCCGGGCAAAGTTGCCGGCGGCACGCAGACTCAGGCAGGCGGAGCTGGTGCCAAGGAGAAGGGTAAGTATAATCGTGAGCTAATCCAATTTCTATCAACAATAACTAATCTATATTAACTTTATAACAGATGCTGCTCAGCGAGAGTCGCGTCCGAATGCGGCGCAGATTGCTGGCAGCTCGCGCCAGCAGAGCAAGGAGAAACCACCGCAACATTATGGATCATCCACTGATCACAATACGAATGCCAATCAGGGCGGTCGCAAATCGAGATCGAATAACTCTTAAAAGCAAAGCAGGTCGCCGAATTTGCGACAAATGTGAAAAACACGAATACTTTGCTAGGTGACGCCGCCGCCGCTTCAGGTGCATCACCCCCAACCCCCCCTTCTGTACATAAATTCCAATGTGTAAATACAAACAAAAGCCGTTTTTTGTTATATCTATAAGCGCTATAGATATTTACGAGCTAACCAAGGAGGCATAAATAAGGTAATATCTGTTCGATATGTTTCTATTTAATATATATTATTTAATATATACCCCTTTGCAGTTGGCGTCGCACTGAGCAGAGATTAGAGGGCGACCGGCTTGGACCAGTTATCATATAATATAATAAAAGCATAGGCAAAGGAATAATGGTGCATAACATTAATGAAAACACACACACACACACAGAGACTCACACATCTACATACATATATATATATGTATAATCAGTTAAAGTTAATTTATCTTAGCCTAAACTTAACACACACACAAAACACATGTAGATTAGTGCAACGATGATGAATTGGTAGATATATATATATACATATATAAATATGTGGCGTGTATATATATATAGCGTATATATAGAAAGAGAGAGAGAGGGAAGAAGTTTATATGCCCAAGTTAAGTTTACGATTACGATTAATGAAAATTGTTTGATTGGAGTCAGCCAAGTTGCATCCGTTCGAGATGTTAGCTAAATAACGACAACAACAACAACAACAAAAAGAAGAATATAGCATTAATCATTATTAATAATCCATTACTCATTGCCTGGTGAATCATGTTGATCATCATCATTATCGTGTGTTGATTATCAACGTTAATTTTCATTTGCTTATATGCTAAAACTTGAATAGATTATAGCCAAAAACAAATACGAGAGTTCTACCACTACAGATCGGGCTATATATACGTTAGTCCCAGACATCTTTTTCTTTTCATTTTTTAATATTCTTATTATAACCTTTATCAGTTTGTCTGATAGCAGCGACCATTGAAGTCTTTTGTTCTATTTCGAACCTTTGGGCATTATTTTTTTTTTTTTGTACTTATTTCATGTCCTAAAGGAACCTGTTAACACGGACACAGACTGGCACACACTCACACAAACACACACACACTCTCTATGTTTATACTTATATGTCTATGGAAATAATTGCAAACAACTTGAAATTGCATTTCTTCCACACATATGAGGGCAATTTTCTCAGTTCGATGGTTTCACACACATTTCTCGAGAAAAAAAAACTAAAACCAAAAACAAATTAATGCAAATTTTATACAAGCCGAACAAAATAACTAATAATAAAACAATTCGTGTTACTCTCAACACACACACATAAAAAAAATGTACAAAAAATATTTTTGTATAAACAACTAAAAAACTAAACAAAAAGATAGCTAAAGGTGCCATAAAGAAACACACACAGACTCGCCCACACACACACTCACACACACATGCAGTGAAATTTCTATGCGGTTTAGGACAACACAAATAGGCATTTAAAATTATATACATATATATATATATAGATAAAATCGTATATATAACTATGTACAATTAATTCTTACATTTTACTTCTTTTTTTTTTTTGCTTTGGTTGACCCACACAAAAAAAAACGAAAAAAATTTATAAAAATGTTGAAAAAACAAAAAAAATAATATTGTATTTAATACTAATGCTCATTATGCTTTTTGGTTGGATTTCCTTTGTTTGTAAACTTTAATCCGTATTCATTTCAATTATGATTTTGTACGCACAAGACAACTGCAACGGAATATAAAGCTATGAAAAACCTTTTCAATTTGATTTTGAAGTTCAAGTGTATAAGCAAGTAAATTAATCTTAAGGCATAAACAAATTGGCAGAAGTTAATCTATGTAGGGACTAAGCGCATACGATACATGATATATATATATATATATATAGTTATATATATATAAATGAATATATATAAATATAAATATATATATGTGTATATAAGCTAATGCTAGCGTTAAGTGATATTCTAAGATATCCCAATATTCTTAAGATTAGGCGAAATATATTCGATTCGACAATCGGATTGCTTGCGGCGATGTTTCGTCCTTCGCCCTACCATTTCACTTCCAAAAACACACAAACAAAAGAAAGCGTTTTCCTTTCCACTTTCTTCGATTCGAGTGAGAGTTCTCTCAAAGTAGATAACTGCTAAATATAATAGAATACCAAAATGAAAAGTGTTTCCCAGCCTCTCCCACAAGCCAGTGTCCCAGTATGCAAGACTTTTAACACCTGCTACATTTTATATAATATACATAATATATATATATATATATATGCCCCTATATACATATATATATATATATATGTGTGTGTTTATATTAACTTAAAGTAAACATATATTTTGATTCTATAAAAACAATCGAATATGCTAAGTGCCTATACTAAATACATTTATATCTGTATATATATGTATATATATATCTGTTACATATATATATGTACATATATACATATATATGTATACCCGCTCCACTGAGTAGACCCTACTATAATTAAACTTTTATTATTTGTTAAACACAATTGTTGCCGCTAGTCCAAGTCCAGATGCTCGTCCTAGCTGCTCCGAGATGAGCATCTGGGACTGTCGCAACTGGCCTGACGACTAACCCCCGCCCTTTTGCTCAGTGGTGTGCGTGTATACACACACACACACACACACACATATATATATAAACACACACACACATGCAACACATAAGCTTATAGTTGGTATGCCTCCCTCCTCCTCCCAACCATCCCAATCACGCCCTTGCCCCACCCACCCACCCACACACACACACACACACACACACACACACACACATTGTTTAATTGGTTCTCCACCGTCTCACTGTACAGTGAAACTACGTTAGCGCCGACGACGAATGACGGGCAGATAGTAACAGATGGGACTAGAGAGCCGGCATACCCAGTCGTCTGGATGGGCTTAGGGTGTAGCTGGCATTCAATAGGTGCAACAAACGCCACGTGTGCTGTGTGATATTATGCAACTTGCAGAGCGAAGAACTCTTCAATTGCATGTAAAAAAAAATAAAATAAAAATTAAAATAAATAAAAAGGTTGGAATATGGATTGCCAGATTGATTGCCAAATACCCTACACCCTATACTAGGCCAGGCTGCTTGGGCTCTGCCAGTTCTCGATGTATTTTTTGGTGTTGTCTCGGAGAGAGGAGTTTATATAGAGAAGAGGTCTACAGTTTTAGCGTAAAGAAACGTAACGAAACGAAACGATATGATAAGATATGATAAACATAAAGAAGGCGAAGATGCAGATGCACAGATGCAGATGCAGATGAAGTTGAAGAAGAAACATTGTTGATGTTGAATAATTTTAAGGCAACAAATAAATTAATTAAATTGTTATTGTAAAGCCTCAGTTCTTAAGTTATTTATTTTGTATATTTAAGCAGCGCATATGACACTGACAATGACACATGACACCTTGTTAAACTATACAAACTACTGATAAAAACAAAACAAAACAAACAACAAAAATAATTGTAATATGTAATAATACACGCTCTATACACTATATATGCATGTAACTATCCCCAACACACAAAAATCCATACACAAACCAGCCAGAACTAAGCAAATAACCCTTCGTTCTTATCCAATTGTCGGGCAGAGTCATTTCAAATAGCTTTCAAGACATTATTATTATTATTATCATCATTATTATGTATACCATATTATTTATTATTGAAAGAGTATATGCCTTTCACAAGGGCGGCGGGGTATAATGGCCCATTTATTATTTTGTTTGGCACTGCCGCAATATTATATATATATATATATATAAATCTATATATTGTATGATAACTAGACGAGTTTTAAAGGTATTCCCAGCCAGCTGCTTGGTACTATAAATTCTCGTAGAATTGTTGAAGTTTTTTAATCAGAACACGAAAGCTTGATATTGATCGGAAGACATTCACTTACCCCACTTGACGACCAGCTCTCGTTCGGGAATACCCTATAATCTATACTCACATATAATAATACGCCTGCTCTGCTTTGTCTCTCTCATTCTTTTGGCACTGCCATCAAAATATTTCATATATAGTTTTTAGTTTTAAAAGCCTTTCCATATTCACACACTTGGATATTGTTTGTTTTATTGCGCCCCTTGTGAAGGGTTTAATTTACTTGTTTTTTTTTCACATTTTATAATTTCATTTTTGTTTTTCATTAATTTTTTTTTTTTTTCTGTTCCAAATACTTGCATAGAAATGCTTACGCACATTGTTATCACTAAAAATAAAAAAAAAGAAAAGAAAATCCATGAAAAAAAAGAACAAAACAAAAGAATGTCTGTTAAAGAAATTGATATATAGAACACATGTAATAAAATCGAAGAGTATATAAATAATATTATTAATTGTACCAAAATTGATAAATGTAAAGTAACAAGAACAACAAAAACAAAAAAACAAAAGGTTTATAAAATTGCATATATGATTAAACTATAAACTAAAACGTAACTATAACTAAACAATATCCCTATGCAAAAGTATACACATAAATTATATTAAACATTACCAGACAAACAACAACAGCAAGAACAAGAACAAGATAAACAAGATCCACTCTTTTTCCGTATACTAGGGAGTGAAAATTGTGCTCGCTTTATATAGTATACGAGCTCTTATAACTAAAAACTGAACAAACAAAAAATCATCTAAAGCTATAGGAAAGATAAACGAGAACCATCTAAGACCGAAACACATACAAACAAACAAACAGAAAACAAATCATAAATGCATATTTTATTTTATTGTATGTATCATAAACGAGAATCAAATAAAAAGAAAAACCAGAAAACAACAAAGCGCATACGTAGATTAAATGTAGTTAGCCGAAGAAATGGTAAATGTGGAAAATGCAAATCGAAACGATTATTGAAAACATGTCAACCAATAAAACAGAAACAATAAACAGACGGTTTAAATAAACATCTTGATCTAGGGGTATAACTTCTGGTCTGTTCCATATAAATCTAGCTGAAGCAGCCTCTCTCGTATCTACCCCAAATTAGCTCGAATAAAACGGGCGCGGTTTTTGGTTTTGGTTTTTTTCTAATCAATTGTTTATTCTCAATTCTCGTATCATTATTATTGCGATGTAAAAAGGCCTCTAGCATGACTATGTTGGATCGATCCCAAGTTAAATCGTTTACCCAATGGAATTTACAACGATTTTTCGACACTACAAAAAATGTTCCTTTATACAAATACATAATTACTTATCTATGCTATATTTATATATATATGTGTTATCCAAGTTAAGTGTTTAGAAAACTTTTTATATATTTTTGGAATATCTCGGGTAGTTGTAGTCTGATTTTCGAAAGATATAGCTTTTTCATCTCAGACCTTCGATTGGCATTCGCAATTGGTTTATTTTAGCTGCCAATCAGTTGTAGAAGGTTTCTTGAGCACAAAACGACAAATCTTTCCGAAATCGGACTTAAATTAACCAAGTTATGTACATTCAAAGTTTTTTAAATATGTTAAAATCGGAATTTTTCGGGTATTTGAATTCCGTATTTCGGATCATTCAACAAATCCAATTTCTAAAATTAGACAAGGAGTACAATTTTAGATTTTAAAATCAAAGGTGTTCGCTTCCAATCTATTTTATAGAGTATCACGAATCCTTGCGGACTTCGATTGGCCGAGTTAGTTATATAAACAGCTTTAATAATGGTGTTGCACAATCTAAAGGTACGAAAAATACTAGATGGATAATACATTCATTATCTTGCATGGGGGAGGGGGCATTACAAACAAAGTAAGAGCAGTCACTAGCATTGTTGAACTTTTCGCTTTGGTTTAGACATATTTATTGCGCGGGGGACGACAAAACAGGTGTTTCCGTTGCTGTCGGCGCCGGTGTCGACGTTTCCGTGTTCACATCTGGCTGCCCGGAGGATGATCTACAACGTGCAACAAGGTCGCTGTAGGGCTTATCGTGCAGCAGGCAGACGAGGACAACGGTCATATTATCGCCGCCCAGTCCGCCCATTTGGCAGTCCGGCGCGAGGCAATGATTCATCAGCTCCTCGCAAATCTCCTCCGGCTGCTTGTCCATGGCGATGCGCGACCGACAGAACTCGAGCACTTCCTCGTTGCTCATCACATCCCAAATGCCATCACATGCCAGCACAATAAATTCCCAGTCCGGCATTATTTGGCGCGTCTCCACGTCCGGGTAGGCTAGGCAACAACAGCAAGGTGTTAACAATGAATGAATGCCGTTTTCTTCCGTATATATTCACCTGTGACTATTTGCTCTTCCGGCTTTTTGTTTGCACGCTTGAACACAAAGTCGCCCAGCGCACGGGAGAGTGCAAGATTGCCATTGACACGATTGAACTCCACCCAGCCGCCGCCCTCGATGATGCGCTTCGATTCCGCCTCATTGTTCGGCTTGTGGTCCACGGATAGCGTCTCCACCTGTCCGTTGACACTGGCAATGGCCCGCGAGTCGCCGGCATTGGCGCAATACAGCATATTATCCTTGACCAGCACAACGACGGCCGTTGACCCGGCCATCTGATCGCCCCACGACTCATTGTGCAGCATCTCATAGTCTATGTCCAGAAAACCCTACAAGTTCCAGAGATACATGATGATTGAATGATGTCGAGAAGTGACGCAGGACATTCCAGCCAGAATAGTTGAACAGTGTCCAGAATGATGATGATGATGCGAAATTGAGCACTTTTGAAGCACAAATAACTTGGACACCAAGCAATTGGACTAATCCACCCAAATATGACAGACTCAGCCTAGGGTTATTGGTGTGGAAAACACGAAGAAACCCACAAGGCGGGTCGCCGGTTCAAACTTGTTATTGATGCGGAATAAAGCACTTTTGAGCACAAATAAATTGTACCCCAACCAATTGGATAAATCCAACCAAATAAAGTCCAGGGTTAATGGAGGTGTGCGAAGAGAACCACAAGGCAGGTCGCCGGTTCGAACTATGCAGTTTTTGGGCTTTGTAGCTTTGAGCACAAATAAATTGGATTCCAACCAATTGGATTAATCCAACCAATTATGAAAAATTCTAGGCTTAATCAAAGCCTGGGTTATGGATGGGCCACAAGGCAGGTCGCCGGTTCGAACTATGCAGTTTTTGGGCTTTGTAACTTTGAGCACAAATAAATTGGATTCCAACCAATTGGATTAATCCAACCAATGGGACAAATTAAAGGTTCTATCAAAACCTGGACTTGTGAATGTGCCACAAGGCAGGTCGCCGGTTCAAACTATGCACTGTTTGGGCTTTGCAGCTTTGAGCACAAATGAATTCAGCCCCAGCCATTAGATTTATTCAATCGTATTTGAAAAATTAGAGGTTCAATCAAAGGCTGGGCTTATGGATCCGAAAGGCAGGTCGCCGGTTCGAACTATGCACTTTTTGTGCTTTAAAGCTTAGCGCTTGTTATTTGTGCTCCCCAACCATTGAACTAATCCAGGCTTATATGAAAAATGAAAATGAGGCTTATGGATGTGTAAGGCAGGTCGCCGGTTCGAACTGTTAACCGAATTATGCTATCGTTGGCCTTTAATGCCCCGGTAGCAGCAGCTCTTACCTGTTTCAGGGCCTTCTCGATATCGTTCTCATTGTATTCGGGCCGCTTGAGCACGAATTTGTGTAAATGCTTGCCCGCATATTGGGCGACAGTCGCGCCGCCATGCCCATCGTAGACGGCAAAGAAGGCCGCCTTGGGATCGTCCGGCAGGGCGAGTATGTGTGTGTGCGAATCCTCCATGTTGATGCGCCATCCCTGCATGCAGCTGCTGCCCACGCGATACTGTTGATTCTGGCAATACGATGACTCCTTCGCGGTCACCGGCTCGGATAGTGTCTGGCCCATCTCTCGCTTATCAGTTGGCGCTGATTATCTGTCCAGAGATAAAGGGATCAATTGACCGTGGAGCTTGGCATATGTCAAATAGACTTGAAGATATATTGACCGGCATTGCCCGACCCACAATTGACTGGGTGAGGAATCCCATTTGCAAAGCAGCATTAACGCAACACTTGAACAACCTTTGATACTTCATTTTGCTGTCTTTTTAAATTTATTGTCTTTGTCTTTTTTTGTTTGTTTGTTTGTTTTTTTGCTGCCGCCCGACTGCGCGGCGCGCAGCAGGGCAGAGGGCAAACGCAGTTAAACCAGATAAAACGTTGATAACATATCTGGGCTCTTTTTCTTAGTCATGTGACGGAACGTAAACAAATGTGTTTTAAGTGCGACTGACAAACTGGTCAAAAATGTAAATTTAGACGCGTCTAGAACAATGGCTCCGGCAGGTAATAAAGTTGTGTGCGGAGCAGAGGCTTACCTGGCACGGGCGCTGCTTCCAATACATTTACAACTTTAGCTGGCTAATTTTGGTATTGCGACTACATTTATTTGTAAACGTTTATCGCTTTGCTTTGGGCTTTGCGCGAATAATAAATGCAGCGACACGTTTTTTTATTTTTGTAGCAGGCGTCGCAGTTGCAGTTTTGCTTAAATGAATTTAACCAAGTCTTTACTTTGCTTTACTTTACTTTATACTTTATCGGCAACGATAAGTATTGAAATACAACCAAGCGAAATATCGTCGATATTATCGATAGTATTTGCAAGCGATAGTATTTTTTGGCGAAATTCGTGTTATTTCTACTATTTATATTGGCTTTAGTGCTTAGCTGATTTATTGGAAATGCTTTATTGAAAAAGCTAATTTTTTTTAAAATTGTAAATGATTTCGAATCGTCACAGTTATATACAATATTTTACATTTTAAGCCTTTACTTGGCTGGCGTGCGTCTCATAGCAACGAGCTTCAAGCCATCATCGTTCTTTAACATCGTTGCGAAACTGACAGCTATAATTATCGTGAATTTAATTAAAAAACACGTTGTAATAAGAAGTAATTAAATAACGTAATCAGACTGATTAGTGTCATATGTCTAACGTTTTGCCTATTAATTTGCAGTTAACGAGACAATATGTTTACAGAGCTCACAGATTTTGTTTCAGCTATGCTCTTTCGCTTTCACTCTCTGGACTCTCTTGCGCCATCCTCATGTTGTCTGGTGTTGTTGGCGTTTCTCAACTTCGTTCTTTTCGGCTTTTGCCGCTGCTGATGCCAAGTGCATTGAATTTTGCAAATTCTGTTTTGCGGCAAATAAACGAATTCAAGGACAAATGACGTCAGCCAAACATTTTCGTGCTCGCTGCTGCCGCTGCTCAGTGGCGTACATGAGGGGGGACACAAGCGCGTTAGGGGTCTCCACTTAAATTAAATTATTTGTGAGCCAAAGGAATCCTGCATTGCACAATTTTATTTATAATCCTAACAGTTTATGATGAAAAAAATTTGAAATGTAATATTTTGCACAGGATTGGTCACGCAGATGAAACCAAATCAAATCATTCCGATTTAACGTATGTTAAACATCGGTAAATGCGATAGATCGGTGTTCAGTGAATACCCCTAATTCAGGTTGTTTTACCCGCCTCTGCCCATTGAAACTTTTTGTTTGTTTATTTTGTTTTTTGATTTCTTATTAAAAAGAAAATAAAGCAAAAACTATATTAAATATTTGCACAGCAGCAGAGATACCGAAAAGCAGCGAGTATTTCTGATAAAGAACTGTACCCTGCTCTCTCTCTCTCCCACTCTCCCACTCTCTCTCTCGCTCTCTCTTTTGTTTTTTTTTTTATCAACGCCAGTGTTGAATGCTTTATAAATGTCAATGAAAGTTGTGTTGTTTTTGCTTTCTTGAGATGGGCGTGGTCGATACCGGCCTGCTTTAGCCAAGGGTTCTATTGCAATGATCATTCCCACAGTTAAGCCCGTCCCTCTATGCACTCCCCCAACCCCCACACTCTTACTCGCTGTCTCTCTCTCTCTCTCGCCCTCTTTCGCTGCGGTTCTTATCGCCTGCTCCTCGCATTTATTTGCCCCTGTTCTGCTTTTTGTTTTAGCTCATTGAAAGTGCAATTCAGTCGCAGCACGCATTTTATTATTTCCAAGCCTCTTGAAACGCACATTTATTATGCATTTAACGTTGCCGTCGGCTGCACCACCCCCCCCCCCCCCCCCCTTCCATCCACCCCTCACTAAGGCAATGCACTCGCACTAACCATCAGCCATTAACCATTTGCCATTCGAATTTGTACGTCCTCACCCCCCTCCCCGCGGGCTACTAAATAATTTCCATATTGTTTGTCAACGGTCGAAGCGAAACGCATCCAGATCCCGATTCCGATTCCGATCCCTATTCCAAGCTCAACAACGGCGACATTATCGCTGGCCGCTTTCCAACCGATTCGTATGCAGTCTGCATGCAAATATTGCACGAAGGGAGGGGTGTGGAAGGGGGGGGGGGGGGGGGGGGAGAGGAAGAGCTGCAGCACACAGATATCGCCGCAGTAGCAGTTCAATCACATCGCACAAAAGTTCGAGGTCAGTTATAAAAATAAAATTATATACACACACACACACATGCGTAGATATGCGCCCGTTGTGTGTGTGTGTGTGTGTGTGTGTGTGCCGTCAGCTCTCATTCGAATTTGTTTTGTATTAATTTCGCATGCGACAAAATGAGTTTCTTTGTCTTTGGCTGGCCGCAGGATCGAGAGCCTTCACTGCCCTGCTCATTGGCACAAAAGCCTTTGTTTCATGCAGGACGGGCGGGCCATATACCCACTGCTATGCCCATTAATTTCATTCAAGTGGAAGTAGGCCACTGGAGTTCTGTGTAACGTGAGCGGCAGGGGCCAGAGGCGAATCCGAGATGCACAGCTCCTGCCTGGCCGCTGCAATTGTGTAATGCGAGACGGGGGCAATGACTCCAGCCTCAAGGATAATGGAAAGTTAACAGCGCAGTCGCTGCGCAGTCGGAGCCATGGCTCCAGACGGCAGTGTTGCCAACTGCCGTTGCAAAAACTAGCTAAAAATTACCGAATTAGCTAGCTGAGCAGCATATCTAGCAATAAACACAGGGTTGTTAGCTTTGGTGTGGGCACAGCTCCAGACGGCAGTGTTGCCAACTGCCGCTGCAAAAAGTAGCTAAATATAGCCGAATCAGCTTTCTGAGCAGCAACTAGCATTAAACAGGGCTGTTATTCATATGCAATAAGATAGCCGATTCAATTTAAAATTGCAATTCTCTTACGAAAACAGCTAGAATTTAGCTGAAAAACAGCCGAGATGGCAGCACTGCTCCAGACAACAGAGAGGGGGCGGGGGCAAGTCGCAGGAGCAGACTGAAAAACCGAAAGACCAGACCGGAATGCTGTTGAACTCAATTTTTAGTTTGCCGCCGCCGACGACGACGTCGCCGTCGCAATGAAATGAAATTTCGATCAATTCCAGAGAATTCATGCCACAGATTTGGTTCTGGTTGCAGCCGTTGCCAAAAGCCGAACCAAAGCCAAACTAGTTGGACGACTCGAGTTCAAGGATCCGCGACGTTAGCCGCGGCGGAGGCAACGGGTTCATTAACTTGTTTGCCTGCTTCGAGCTTGTTTTTTTTTCCTTTTTTTTTGGATGCCGCCAGCATCCGCGACGAGACAATAATGATCTTCGCTGGAAATGCGCGCACCCCTCGAGCTGTTGTTGTTGTTTGTGTGTGGCTGCTGTCGTTGGCGGAGGCGACAATGCCGCCGCCGCCGCCACCGCCGCTGCCATTGGCGGTGGTGCTGGTGGTGCTGGTGGTGACTTAATTGCCGCACCCAGCGCCTGGTCATGGGGATTAACAAAGGAACATTTTGCCAGGCTGTCGCGGAATTGGTTTCAAAATTCAATAAATGAAAAATAGAGCCAGGGATATGTTTAAGATTTCGAAGGTCTAGAGCATTAACTCAAAGGTAGCATCCTTTAACCTATTTAGATACCCTGTAAACCTAAGTAAATATATGAATATGTCACATGTGCGTATATGATTCTTAATGGAAGGAAGAGGGCTCAGTACAGGGTATCAACAGCAGCATCATGTTTATTCAAAATTATCGATAACTTATCGATAAATCCCCGATCCGCCGAAACCAATGCATAAGCTGCATATGTGATAATTTTTCAAACATCGATTAATATCGATATTCATAAGAATGAAATATCATATTTGCCGTCTCTAACTCTTATATTTATAAGAGTATTTATGTAAAATGATCGATAATCTACCCTGGTTTTCCCATTTGCCTGGTTTGTCTTAAATCGATAAATATCGATTTTAAGCTCTAGTTTAGTAGATACAAAATCTTTTTGGATTCATCCAACTGTTCCCAACAAATTGAATTCCCATCAAATTTATGTTACGACCGTTAAGTGTCGTGTAGAGTATCTGCTAGTCGAGTGCCCTTGTTTAGAGCCCTCTTCACTTGTTGCATAAAATGGGCTCGATTTATAGTTGGTTGATAGGGCAGCAACCTTGCACAAGGCGAAGTCGTTGTCGCTAGTGAATCACTTGGCCAGTGACTAATAATCGGGAGGTCGTGCGAAAACATTGGATGACTAAGCCTGACTTGGATAAACTGCAAGAGAGGGACAGAGTGAGAGAGAGAGAGAGAGAGGGAAATAAAACTAACGAATTGACATAGATAAAATGTTTGTGTATGTGCCCATTAAAGTAGATCGGTTAGCCCGGGTTATAGACACTTGACATCCTCCGAGTCCGCGGTTTTGGATAAACAGATTTGGGTGGCCAGGCAGGTTGTGAGGCAATCGTAGCGGGTGCAGCGTCCGAGGATTGAGCGCACATCCTGGGTGAAACGCAGGGCGTCCAGAAAGGGCAGCATGCAGAGCAGCTCGTCGTCCTTGGTGCCGATGCGATAGCTCTTGATGTGGACGGCATTGCCCACATTGAAGCTGTTCTCCATGTGGCAATCGTCCAGCAGCAGGACATTGGACAAATCGCTGTGCGCTATGGACACAAACTTGGCCCGAATGCCGCAGATATTGATGCAATCCTGGCGATACATTCGCCGATTCAATATATTCCGACCCGCGTCCAGAAAGTCCAAGACCCGCGAGGCATACATCTCCGTGGCGGCGGTGAAGACCACCAGATTGTACCACTTGGAGACACGATCCAGAAAGAAGTCCACATGCGGCCGCTTATAGACATAGACGCTGGCCCCGGACAGGGGCAGATAGAAGCTAAAGTCGTATGGAAGCGTGCCCACCAGGATGGACTTCGCCTTGTACTTGCGATGGCAAGCAGCGGCCGCTTTCGCCTGGTAGAGTATCACGGACGCTATCAGGGTCTCGTCCATGTCCAGGATGAGCGTCTTGCGCCGCACCAGTCGGAGGCGTCGTCGCGAGACGTGCGTCAAAATGTCATCCTTCAAATAAGTTATCGGCGTGTAGTTTATGGATTTGCAATGGAATTTCGCCAGCTGTATGCGGAGTTTGTGTCGCAGCACGGGCACCGCTAGAATAATCACGGTAAGGAGCATGCCCAAGGTTCCCAGAAAGTAAAAACTGTAAGATACTCAAAGGGCAAAGGGGGGAAACAATAGATTGCCGAAGAGGTTACTCACTTCGTTGCCAGGAAATTATCCTGGTTTTCCATGTTGCTTTACGATAAGTAGAAAATATATATATGTATATATGTATGTACATTTACGAATCCAACCTGACTTGAGTTCCACAGTAAACTTGGCAAGTCAATCTACCCGATTCTACCCCTTCATTCTAAAGGTATTCGGGATCGAAGCACCTCCGCTCCCTGCCATGGGCCCCAAGCGAATGCAATTTTCTAATGCTCGATTCCAAACGGCGTAATCGAGACTTTTTATTTATGAACGGAACATAATACCCTAGCTTCAAGTCGCATCAGTTAAAGCCCTAAATCCGAAGCCCAAATGAATCACAGTGTATCGATCAGATCCATAATTACAATGAAAAATCAGTTTCGATATCCGAGCAGCTTGCCTCAGTCGTGATTCTGTCGTCTGTGTGGGCGAAAAAAAAAAACAGCCACGAGACTATCCGACTTGCAGATACCCTGTAGCCAATTCCTCATTGACTTGAAATGGAAAATATTCACAATCTAGAATCTACGCTTAAAACTAATTGTAGCCAGCTCTGCAAATCGTCGAAAGGCCCAAAAAACTTAGACTTATCGATAATAATCGATATTTATCGATTTCGCGAAAACAGGATAGTTTTCGATAATTGTATGATACAATTTATCTGTTAAATGAGCATATGTATTCACAAATTGCCGACAGGATAAGGGCTAAACTGACGACGGTAACAGAAACAAGAATCTACCCGACTGGCAGACACCCTGTAGCCAGCTACATTTGTACTTCACATAGACTGGGAATGCTCTTCGAAATGCAAAATATTCGAAATTTGTGTAACACTACTCAAACATACAATTAAAACTAATTGCACCCAGCTTTTCAATTCGTCCATAAGCCCAAAAAACCTAGAATCGATATTTATCGATTTTGCAAAAACAGGGAAGGATTTCACTATTTAAAAAATACAATTTATCTGTTAAATAAGCAAATGTTTTCAAAAATTACAGACAGCATGGAGGAAGAGATGAAATAGCTGCAGTTGCCTTTTCATCAGTCGTTCAATGAATGCAGGGTATATATAATATACCCTTTTCTTTTAATCGTTCTCAATGGATACAGGGTATAAAAAAACACACGGTCGCCAAGGCGAAAACTGAAACGCCAGCCATGAAATGCAGCGCCAGCTAAAATTTGTACGTTCCCATTCCCATTGCCATTCCCGTTCACGTTTCCAGCTATCGGAATATGACGCACTGCCAGTGGAGCCAGGGGCGGGGCGGGGATGGAGTGGGTGGCGGTGGCGGACTTGATGCGGATGGCGGAGACGCTGACGGAAGTCGGCGACTGACGACGAGAAGCGACGTTACACAGTGTAAAATATTGCACTGGCCTTGGTGCAGCACGCACGACGAGGCTGCCTGTCAAGACGATTAACAACTGCAACAACAACAACAACTGCAAAAACAACTGCAACAACGGCAACTGTGTCCCTGGCCTGTGTCGTCCGGCAGGAGCTAAAATTAATGCACCATATTGTGCGCATCTGTTCATATACAACAAAGTACACACACATACAGGGTATAGGGTATAGGGTATATGAGTCTGGATATTGCATGTTCTCTGTGGCGTCTGCTGGTTGTCAACCGCAACCGCAGCCCTTGCAGAAATGCGACAGTGAGTCAGCTTGGGAAACGTTTTAACACCCGCATCTGGACACATGTTGCTGCCTCGTGCGACTTGCCACAGTTGCAAGTGTGGCATTAACTCGAGCCGGAAAGCACGCGAATTCCTTGCGGTTGTGTCATTTGACAGCCAGATGACAACCGCATGAGAATTGCATAGAAAGGCTCGCCAGAGCACTGCTTGCTTAATGTTTATTTAAGCCAAATGACTCTCTCTTTCCCCTTCCCTCAATAGAGTTTTGCCTGTAGATAAGCTAAATATGATTCAGCAACAAGAATAATTCATTTAGATAACATCATAACTGGTAAATCCCAGGCTAAGTTAGGCAAATGTCAAATGCAATTGCCAAATTAACTGTTTGAACTCATAAAATTACGTATACGTGTCGTTAGCCCGAACCTGTTACAGCTATTTTTTTGTTGTGCGCGTTAAGTTCAAATTAAACAATAAGTTGTTGTTGTTGTGTGGTGAATGTGAATGCAAAATAAATTGCGCATAAAGTTTAATCACTTTGACTTTGCACACACACACACACAGAGAAAGAGAGCGGGCGAGAGAGAGAGAGAGAGAGAGCGAAATGAGCGGCCGCTATCAAACGACAGCGCCAAAAAATAAAAACGCATAACAAAGATTCTACGCAACACACAACCAACACACACTTCCATATGTATGTATGTGTGGGCAGCGGGCAGTGCAAAAAAACGCAATAACAACAACAACCGGCAGAGACAGAGTCAACAACCTCCAGTGCATTACTCACTTTTAAAGACCGTGTGTGTCCTTCAACAAAAACGTATCGCCATCTCGCTCGCACGCTCGCTGCCATGCTTTGCTTGACTATTTTTGCTTTTTCTACAATTTATAATTAAACAATTTTTACTGGCCGTTGTTTTTGTTGTAGACTCTCCTTCTCTCCCGTCTCTCCACCTTCGTTATCTCAGTCCACACATTGCCAACTCCAAATGTAGCTAGTTGTTGTTGTCGTCGTCGTCTGAGCTTTGCACAAGTGTGCAGGAGCCGCTCTCTCGCTCTCTCTCTCTCCTTCCTATCATCATTCAATCCACATTTCAGACTTGCTGTCGATTTTTGAAGCTGCTGCGCATTTTGGGCGAGATGAATAAACTTTAGCACGCCTGCGTGACCTGTTGTTGTTCTCTGCCTTTCGGCTCAACCCCTTGCTCTATCTCCTGCCCACGCACACAGGCGCAGCACATCCGCTGCCAAAACTTTTGTGTGCATGCGTGTACACTTGTGTATATGCGTACATACATATGCATGCGTATGTGCAAGTATTTTTGTGTGGAGAGCAAATGTCATTGACTGCAATTTGTTAGCAAAATATTTCAAGTGATAAATAAATTCTACATAAAGCTACATTCGATGCCAATGAACTCATTGCAAACTCTTCACCCGAAAATTGATGTTCTCCGGTTTTGGGCTGCAATTTGGTTGTTGTTTTTTTTCTTGTGGCTTTTGCAATTTGCGCCCCAATTGAAGCGTCAACAACAGACGGAGAAGTAGACAGAGACGGAGACATTGCCGGAGACTTTGCTCTTCTGATCGCTTATTCTACACAGGTTGGACACGCCGTAAACAAAGAATTTTTGTTTGTTGCTTCTTTTTTTATTTATGCATATACCCTGCACTTATAAGTGAGTAACAAGGGTATAATTAAGTTGTGCAAATATATGCAATACAGGTAGAGACATATACGGCTCTGAAGAGTATATAGTAAAAATAAAGCTAATGGCTAAAGTTGTAATTATCAATCTGTTTTTTTTTTATATTTTCAAATTTGTTAACATAAAATCACAAATGATATCAAAGTTAGTTCAGATTTTGAAAATAATCCTCAGCAGGGCAAAAACATGTAAAAGCTGGAGAGTTTTAACTCTACATACATATGTATGTATGCGTACATGTGAGTAACGGCAGTTGGAAGCTATGCAGAGAATATTTTGCAATCGGGCACTCTCGACTAGAGCTCTTTTGTTTTAAATTCGTATATTATTTTTATTTAAAAAGAAACAAGCGCAAAGTCGTTAAGTTCATTGTATTCGATCGCATGATAAAACAGGAACGACGACTGATATATGTAAATATGCATGCATGTACATACAGAAGCCTATATGAATATGTATTGTATTTAATCATAACCAGCGCGTGCATAGAGAGTGCAAGTTAATTTATCAACTTTACTGTTGTCGTTTTGGGCACATTCACACAATGCACATATATACATGCATACACTCGAAATACCAGCTGAAATATGTAATATCGATAATTATGGTTTGATAACGGAAGAGAAAAATGTCCTATTCAGTGCTTAAGCTGAACAGTTACATTGCCCAGCTTACCGTTAAAGTGCCCGCCAGTGCTGGTATGTCATCTGGCGCCTCTCCGGTTGCTTATTCTCGGTTACTCGAAAAGGGCATTAAGTTTCATGTGCGCTCGGGTTACAGCAAAGTCGGTCAATAACTTGGGGACTGTTGCAAAACGCTTATAAGTGACCACAACAAGAAAAACAGCAGGAAATTTGTTGTTTATTCCTTGATGAACTGCTTTTCACTTAAGTTTCAGATGCTGCCTTATTTTAGCTGACCGGTTTAATGAGTCGAACTTAATTTGCGCCCTCAGAAAAAGGCAGACAACACCCATGCCAGGCAGAACAGCAAAAACAGCAACAACACAAATACAAATACAAACACATCATACAATACGCGGCAAGATAGACAGAGAGAGGAGAGACAGAAGCAACAACGACACGTCTGGCAATGGGGAGAGTGGGCGACGCAGGCTGCAGAAAGAACAGATATCAATGTGTGTGTGTAAAATCGCCCAAAAAAAAAAAAAAAAACCAGCAAAACAATTGCCCAAAAAGCGAAGAAAAAACCGCAACCGAAACAACACAAAACAAAATGATGCTCAAGTAACTCATATTCATGTGTGCGTGTGTGCAGCAGCAGCAACAGCAGCAGCGCAGTCGCGATGTCGGCAGAGCCATCGCCATTGCCAATATAAACGACGATCGAAAGATGCAAAATGTTCATTCCGACGTCGTTTCGTTTCTGTATGTACATATTTCGCTGGCCAAGAATTCGAATATAAAAAGTCAACAAAATAATAAAATGAAGCATACGAAAGCAGCGATCGCGCGCACACACTCACAGACGCACACACATACACACGCACACGTAATTCAACTTTTTTCTGCAACGCTGCGTGCGCCGCCATTGGCCGTCGACGCCGCTGGAGAGTATAAAAGCTTAAACTCGCTTCATACTCGAGTTTATTAAAACCAAAACTGTGCGAGTGTCAAGATCGTTCAAGTCGAGAGTTGATTCAAATAAATATGTATGAATGTGCACAGCTACAAAATTCTTGTGAAATAAGGCGTAGCCCTTTAAAA